AGCTGCGCTAGTCCTCAGCTGAGCTCTGCACTTACACCGTCGCTTTCAAGAAAGGAGGCAACCATATTCTATCGTCGGAATCAATTGTTCCGGACGAGGGCGGACGGAGAGAATGGGTGGTTAGGAGACGGACGGCTCTTCTAGCCTATTCCTCTCCTAACCACATCGCACCACTCTTCGTGCAATCCGTACGGCTTTCGACTCTCCGCTGTTCTGCTGGTGTCTTTGTCACTCACTCACTCACTTTACTGGATGGCTGGCCGGCTCGCTTGTCTCGTCGTCCGCCGCCGGCCCTTCAGCAGCCACCAGCACCACCGCCACTGGGAGAGGAGGAAGGGAGGGACGGAGCGACGGACGGAGAGAGGGTCACGTACGGCGATGATGTATCCTGACGAGAAGCCGCCCCCAATACGTCGGCGTCACAATCTTTGCCTTTTCACAGTTCCCGAGATTCATATACATAGTAAATGAGAGTAATTAAGGTGCATTTTCTTTTTCTTCTCATTCTTTGGAGATCAGAAGCAGATCATGGATTTGTTCAGTGTGGAAGAGTTTCCATCTTCTCATTTCATGTTCCTGTACTCGGTGACTCTCGTTTACTATTCGGAGTTAATCAACAATACTTTACTATTCCCTTACGAGCTTTTTTTAAAGCTTTGCGCTGTTTCTTCAGTGTTTGTTAAAACAGTTTATGTACATATGTAATAGTAAATAATGAAAAATAAAAACATGTGCATTTGTGTATCATACCATTTTTCTGATCATATTGGATCAATTTTATCTTTTTCATAGTGCTTCGAGCCCAAACCTGTGTAAAGGGCTTAAGTTTCTGCAAACCAGGACTTTATATCTGATGTGGATACAGTCTATGTGACCTTTATGTTTCTCTTCCACTATTTGATGACAACAGTGCAGGTGCAGGGGTAATGAAGCTGCTCAATAGGGGCAGGGACTTGGTTCGAACCATTTGTGCGTTACCTCAGCCTAAAGGGTAGTGACTACCTGTGATGAAAATCTCTAAATCTCTTAGCTGTCTCAGGATTCCAGAGTTAATCTACTCGACTGGTGTTGAATGGTATTCATAAAAATGATCAAGATTCCTAAGCAACATCCGAACCTACACGCAAGACGTTCGATTGAATCCGCACAATATATGAGATGCTGGCCTGTGCAAAAGTATTATTCGATAGCACTTTTTAACATTTTAGACGTACGTAAACACTTTTTGCTCGAGTTTTCCTTTTTAATACGAGACGCTGAGTGTAGAGAACGAATATGGATCGTCTCTAGAAGGAAAATCAGGTATTTTGCTGTTAATCTCACCCGGACGTGATCAGAAGGTGATTGCAAAGTAGTGGTCATTTCTCCATGCAAACTCTAAGCGTTCTTATCGCCAAAGGTTCCGAGGACACCGAATGTCATCATGGTGATGAGCACGTTTTTGCCTTATGTGATGTCATTATATTACTGTAAATTCAACTGATAGATGAACTATGGTGAAAAGGTCTGATTCTAATAAGTTCATAATGTAACATTAACAGTGGCTGACGTCAGCTAGTTTTTTTCTTATCTGGTTCCCTCATTAAATCATCCCTGTTATGAAAATAACGACTTTCTTGGTTGGAGAAGTGCTCGGTTTTTTACAAGGATCTCGTGTGTGAACTTTTTCGGGCAATCGAAACATGCTTTCATTTGTTGAGAAGCTATTAAAAAACCGGGCAATGAGATTTTTTAAACAGCCGACCCTGCGTATTAGTTCATAATATTGAAGACCGATAATAAATTCAATATTATCCATTTTCTTATTTCATTATTTCACCTCTAGTCTCTTCAATCACCAAGTAGTTTCGTACGGCAATAGTAAACTTCCTATCCATCCCTTTCTCACCCCAACTGGAGCTTGCTTTTATCTTTTTTGATGGGAAAAACACGGCCTACGCAATTCAAATACCTTTCAGAGTTCAGGGTTAGGGCTGAAATACACAGTAGCTTTTGGTTAGGCACTATTAACCTTCTCATGCGCCACCTGGAAGCACAGCAAATGGCCCCATGACGACTAACCAGCTCGAGACCGCTCGCCACGAGGCCGATTCATTGCGATACAGAGAAAAAGCGAAATCGAGTACTATAGTGAAATTGAATCTGATATCAATCTGAATGGATTTTCTCACTCACTAAGGTGACCATCGTCCATACATAGGGCAGAAATTCCGTTTTTATTAGTTCTATAATAATTAGTTCATAGTACCAGTATATGGTTAGCTTCAGAGGACGAATATTAAATTGACTGGTTCGTTTTCATCATAGATTTGGGACGAAGTTATGCGCTATCTAATAGAAACGCCATAATATTTGGCATAAATCCCAGCGTATACCCGCTAGAACCTTACCAACTATGTTAATACGGAAGCTAGGGCTTTTTTGCGATGAGGAGTTAACCTTCAATAACTTGTTTTTTTTTCTTCGAGATGAGTAGACCGTTTGTTGAAATGAATATCAGCTGTTAGCAAGGATTTATCTTTCTATGCTCTTAGCGTTGTTGAGAGGTTTTTGTAAAGTTCTGCAAACTTTGTTCGCAAGAAAGGCGTGGCACTGATATCGGTGTTTTTGCTTTCTTTTTGGAATTTTGTTACCAGTAGTTCGAAATTGCGGGTTATTTGTAGTCACCCCAACTGAATAATCAGTTAGCTGACTTTTTACTTTACATATCTTATTATTTTTTATTATAAAAAATGGAAAAACATGTATGCAGGGGTATATACATGTTATATATATATATATATATACATATATATATACACGTCGGACTTGAATGCTTAAATGGGTTGCGCTCCAGTAGTACTATGACGTCATGGAACGACTTTGAGAGGGTAGACGATCTACTTCATGTCCTGTAAAGGTGAATAATTGAGCTGAAAGGTGAACAATAGCGATTTACTTGAATCAAGTAGGGAATTTTTCTTTTCTAACTATTTCCATTTCATTTGTTCGGAATTTCATTACTTCGTTTGTACAGCTGAAGTAAATGACAAGAGACAGACAGGAAACATTGTTGAAACTTCTGCTGAACATGATTTGAAATGGCATAGATATCCTGATCGTCGTTTTTCTGCACATCGACTTCATTATTCATTAAATACATAAGTCCTTAAAGTACTGTAGTGTTGACCATAAAGCATCATTGTTCATCAAGCCAGCTCCAAACGTCGTTGATCGTTTTGTCTCGAAATGCTTTTATCTTTGCCCCATACTGCTTTCTTGCCTGTTCATTTTTAAATGGTTCTTGAAAATTCTTCAGGATTCCGAATTTAACTTGTTTATGAGATTTCATATTTACGTTTAAGATCACCTTAGAAGAATTCAAGGTGAAAAGCTGAATGGAATGACGTTATCGGTGATTTTTGTTCCCCGATCTATTCCTACAGAAACTCGTACAAGCTGTGTAGGCTCTATGCCGGTTTTCTCGTTCTCTGAAGAAAACAAGAGCTCGTCCGTAGATAATCTTTAGAGTTTTTATGGATAGAAACCTTTGCAGTTTATTAGTTCGCTTAACATAGTCACTAGGTGAAGCACTGTCTTCTTCCTTTGTCGACTTTACTGTAAGGACCTTTTGACGGACGAATGCCTTCTGCTGTGTGTTATCGAATTCATCTACACAACTGAGCTATGTTTAGTCTTCTTAATCATAGAAATTATCCACATTTGAGGAGATTTCTGCATTTGGCGTATGTTTTCTCTTTCTTTAATAGGGTTGACATCATGCTGTCATTCATCTAATGCCACTCATCATCCACCTTATCGAGCGGATTCAACTAGCCATCATATCGATCGATTTCAAAAAAATCTTTCCAACGTTTTCTTCTGTTATCTGCATTTTTTGGCTATCGATTAGTTCTTTTTAGCAATGTAAATCTATTTTATATATATTTTCCATTCCTCTTTCATGTTTTGGATGTCCATCAGTCTGTGAGGAAACCTTATGGAACAAGAGTGTTGAAATTCTCATTGTCACTTCATCATTTTTCTCTCTGGATGTTCTAACATTTCTCATTCATATAATTAATGTTCTGAATGTTATAATATTTAGTATATTTTAGTGTTTTAACTTTTCCCTACTTACGCAGTATTTTTGTTCTAAATCGGGAAATCGATTTTTTTCTATTCATTATTCATCTTTATGCACTTTCATTCATTCATACTTTTATTCATCCAACAGCAGTCCTATTCTGTAAGTGAATGTTTTATCCCTAGAATACGTTCGTGTTCATTCGTTTTTCTTTGGATGTTTTCTAATATTTTATTATTTTTGAAGAGATCTTGCTGTTAGAAACTCCCGAAGAGTCGTTTCGTTGGTGTCCCAGTGAATTCGAATTCAACTTTGACATTTCTCAGATTAATAAAACACAACTTATATTCGTAGATTTTATATCTAATATTCCTGTTTTTTATTTATAGTGGTCAAATGTGGCCATCGGCTGGTCCGATGCTACAGAGCCCTACATATCCACCCGGTCCGGCTCCAACGGCGATGATGCAGCCGATGTCAGGCTACGGTAATCATATTCATTGCTATCCATCCTTTATCCTTTTTCAAAATCGCTTTAGTTAGTCGATAATTCAGTGTTTTCGTCGTGCACTGTGAAGTTAGGTTGCATGTAGCGTTGTGGTTAGAGGTTTTCTGCAAAATACACGCAGTAGTTAGCGTTAGTTGGTTCGGTTCCACAGACTTAACCAACCGCACCCCATCACACGAGACTTAGCAGGTTGCTACTGTGCTTGAATTAATGAAAAAGGGAACGTTGAATTGATACACCACTAAAATCGTGGAAGTTATTGCCAAATATAAATTCAATGACATCATCGATGCTTCCTGGAATTGAGTGCATGACTGGCAGATCGTTTAGGAATTGTCTAACGCTGAATATTCTAGCCTTTACCCTTTACTGTAAAGTTACAAGGTTATGTTTATTAACCCAGGCATGCAGCCATCACCATATCCGATGGATCCGGCCGGAGCACGGCCGCAGTACCCACCGATGCCGGATCAGAGTGCTGGTATTTACGACCAGGTCTGTTATTCGTTTTGAGTTTTGTACTAGTGAGAAGTGTCTACAGGTTCTTTTTCAAGGATATAAATGATCAATTATGGATGTTCTTTTTGTACTTGTACTTATTCACTTTTGCGTTGTTAATGTATTGATACAGAACATGATGAATTACAACCAACAACAGCAACAACAACAACAACAACAACAACAGCGAATGATGATGTTGCATCAGCAGCAACAAATCCAGCAGGTGGTTACTGATTGAAGTGGTCGTTTCTAAAAAGCCATACTAGTAAAGCCGTTGGTAGACATAACTTTAGAGAACCATATTTATTCGGAGTGTTTAGCAAAGTCAACACATACGATGGCCAAAAGCATGGAAAGAAGAACAGTGTTTTTGTTGATTGTTTTCTTTTTTCTTTTTGTTCAAAGCGACGACTTTCTCTGGTGACGATTGAAATCAGCATCACTTCATTTCTTGAAGGCTTAGAAGTCACTCGTAAACACTATATACAACTCGGTTATGTAGGCAGATCCATTCTTTTAGATTAACAACTTTTGTATTCGTGACATTTTTTGTGCAGTTAAAGGATAAATACAGGATAAAGCTCCCAGTGTTGATCAGTTCCTGAGGGATACGCCATGCATTCGACTTCATTATGTATCGTTGGAGGTGACTGAATGCATATCTGGCCTTTACAATGACGCGCGGTAGCCTACCGATGTATCGAGCTAGTGTTGCTATCCGCCCAGACAAGTCTGATACCAATTTGAGGATCCCGCAGGGATGGAACGCTTGGCGGGTCAGGGGCGCGGTGATCGATCCCATGTGTGTGTTGCGGGGCTCCGCTGACCACTGCGCCACACGCTCCCTTTGCGCAGTTACTGTCGAAACAATTCTCGTTACACCGTGGATTTCGACGTATTTCTACGAATGTCGCACTAGCCATAGTGTTTTCATTTAATTTTGGAAATACTGATTTTTTATACAATTTATTGACAGCGATGAAAGCATGTGTAGGAACGACTGTAAGAAAATTAACTATAGGAAATTTCGTTAGTGTATGGAATTAGGTGTATTATGGAGTAGTTCTTTCTTTCTAATATATAAAATTCAATACTGACTATGGTTTCTTGTCACTGAGATTCTTTTCCATGTATCGTCTTGCTCTCTTCTCTGATAAAATATCAATTTTCCCACCGTTATGTAGATCAAACGTTCTCCTACTTTGTTAAAATTGTTCACAAGTGATCAAAGCCGTTTAAAGTTTCAAGGTTGAGACACAAGAAAATGAACAAACGTTATTTATGGGAAATACAGTACTGAAAGTTAAAGTTATTCGTGCCGACCTTGTGTAAGCTGAGCGATCCAAACAGTGCTAAAAGTACTAAGCAGGTTTGGAGAACGTTAAGAGAGTGTTGTTTATAAGATGTTGTTTTTGTGAAATGGAAAAAACGGTAATTTTTATGATTTGATTTATGATGATCGATCCTTAGCTCGTGCTGTTTGTTCTTGCATTGTCAGAGAAACAGTGAGATATTCGCTAAGCTAACTGAACAGAAATCTTCTAGGGTTTTCTCCTTCTTTTTAGAGATAGGTTTTTTAGGTATAGAAAGAATTCAAGTTACTTCTTCGTATAAAATACGAAGAAAATCACTTGATCAATGCCGAGGTTAGTAGAAAGTCGGTCGTGGCAGTTACTTCAAGTTACTTCTTTTTTCAGTAAAAGGATGAAAGGATAAAGCTGTCAGCGTTGATCAATCCCTGAATGATGCGCCATGCATTCTACTTCATTAAGTATCGTTGGAGGTGATTGAATGCATATCTGACCTATATAATGACTCGCGGTGGCCTACCGATATATCGAGGCAGTGCTGCTATCCTCCCAGACAAGTCTGGTACCAATTTGCCGACTCCGCAGGGATAGAAGGCTTGGTGGGCCATGGGCGCTGGGATCGATTCCACGTGTGCGTCGTAGCGGCGCCTCCAACCAGTGCGCCACACGCGCCTCTTGTTTTCTCAGTAGATATCGATATTTTCAATATTACTACTTTTCATTCTTCGGTGTGAATTGCTGCCACTTCATGGTCCTGATTGTTGTGGTGTGTGGATGATTGGAAGTTATGCTAAAAGTCTTCCTGTTTTTCCTTTAACATTTCTACAACTGTTAGGCTTCGTTGTTTTTGTTCTCAAGTTTTTTTTATACTGACGTTATTATTTATACCATTACTATTATTACTACTACTGTTATTGTCAAGGCCATTATTACTATTATCATCATCACTCTCAATATTTTCAAGTGATATTACTATTATCATCGTTGTTTTTCTCGTTACTATAATTGTTATCAATACCAATAGTTTTATTATTTCTTCATATTAGGCATCGTGTGTAGCTTAGTGCTCAAAAGTACTCTGGAATACTAACGTGGCCATTGGTTCGATTCCAAACCGTGGGACCCTTCCATCACTTCCGTGTCGGTAAATGAACACCAGATTGTTTTTATTGATCATCAAGCACGCGGTTGTTATTACAGCGCTTATGAATTCACAATAGCTGACGTTTCGGCGATTTCGCCTTCGTTTGATTGTCTATGCACAATGCAAAGTGGCATAATGTGCCCTATCGGTAGAGACGGTGATCGAATGAACTTGAGTACAGTGTGCCCAACCTCTCGCAAAGCATGTGGGGACGAATGTGTTGTCGAAACGGGTAGACCACTATGTTCGTATGGATGAACACCTAGTTGGTAAATTTGAACTTAGTCCAAATGATCCACCAGACGCGCATAAGCCACAGAAACACAACGAAGAAAATTTTGAAGTAGAAATGACCATCTTCGCCATCCATGGGAATTCAAAAACGAGCGTGTAAAAGTCTTGAAACGTTTTGGTTAAATTTCAAAAATACAAGAATGAACCGCAACGAGAAGTGTCTTGTGATCACGCATGGCCTCGCGCCATACCTCAGATCGCTTCTCAAACCTGGACCAGCCATATTCTTAATGCATAAGGACTCCGTGCGGATGATCTCCATCAAATAGCTGGAAGAATTATAAAGAACAAAGTGGTAGATGTTTAAAAGAAGCTGTTTGCTATGCGAATGCAAATTTATGTGTTAAGTCTTATATGCTAACGTTATGAAAGTGTTTGGCTGAGTAGATTGCCGGTCACTTTGACTCTTCCGGGCTCTGAATAAAACGAAATCGCCTAAACATCAGTCGTGTGTGCTAATAAAAGCTATAACATCAACCTTGTGTTTACTCATCGCTATTGATCAATGTCGAGGTTAAAAGAAAGTTGGTTCTGGTAGGTCAGATTGATCTGGAAGGATGATAGTACTGACTCGATACATCGGTAGATCACCACAAGTCATATCATTGTACAGATCAAACATGTCCACGGTCATGTCTAACGACGCTTGGTGAAGTCGGATGCATAGCACATCCCCTAGGGATTGACCATTGTTGAGACCTTAATCTCTGTATATCTTTATTATTTTTAATACTATCATCACTTTTATAGTACTTGTGCTTCTTTGATCTTTTCTCACTATTGTCATTATTGTTTTCTTTTTAAGAAAAGAAACATTTTTTTTATTTCTTTATTTATTTTTTTTTAAGAAAAAGAAACAGGTTATCGATCATTATTCGGGTACTGGCTACCGATGTTCATAAAGGAGTTTTTTTAACTTTGTATTAGACGTCTATAACGTTACAAGAGGATGTTTTTTAAGGTTATCGTATGGCTGGGTTTAAGTGTCCGGGCTTTAGGTTTCGTTTTCTCATTCGTTGGTTCTTCCGTTTGTTCTCTTGCGCCGGAATTGCTCTTTATGTTTATCATGGAGACGTGAACTGTTCTTTTATTTAAGTTCGTTGACCGTTTTAGTGATCGTTCTCGCCTTAAACTACGTTTCTGTTCACTGTTTGTTCCTTCTTTTCCTTTGTTTTACACCATTATCCTAAGAAGTGAGCTCGTGAAGATGAGTTCATTGGTGAAGATCATTTGTGGGGCTCCTAATGAATACTTGCTTTGACATATAGAAGGCCTTTCTTCACAAGTTTTGCAACTCCTAGCCTAATTTTCAATCTATTTTGCTTGTTCGGTCATTGTGGTACCCTGGAGTAGCTTAGATGAAGCTTTCATTAGGTCGTCGCCACCTCAGACTTTCGCCGCCCTTGTGGATCAGGGATTTGCCACCATGCGACCAACTCGATACCATGACGGCAATGATTCCTGGTTTTGGTTTACACTTAGTTGGACTCCCGGTTAGAAAGGTCAGACTCCTTATCAGCTTGAGAGGCCGTGCTGATGTGATAAACCTCTCGTTGTATATCGCAAGCCTACACGCAGGAACACCTTCCAGCCACCATGAGGTAATAAACTGTTGGGAGGTTTAATGGTTAGTAGCCAAACTAGTAAATCTCTCTGAATAACCCGAAGTTAACTAATTTTGTACACTATTTATACAATAGTAAATGCTTATACTTCAAAGTGTACTTTTGGTATGCTCTCTTCTTTAGTTTATCAATGAAAGAATACAAGTGAGTACTTACTTAGGTACAGAATTGGTCTATGCTCTCGAATCAAAAGATAATCATGTGAAACCTGATACAATTGCCATTTTATTGGTAATTTACTGGCTGCATAAAATTTTCTTTCCTTGCAGTCTCGAAACGTTGGCTCCAGTTTTACCAGGAAGCCAGATGGTTGGCTGGTTGCCAGCTAGTTGCTATGTTGTCGCCAGAGCTGCAGTTATTCTTTGCACTGGTTTACTCTTAGCTGTTCCTAAGATGGCAATTTCGAACTACTTTCCAGATTGGGTTGTCCTCGTTGGAGAAATCGATCCCTTCATTATATCGCCGTTTGTCACCCAGTTCTTTCCTTCAGTCACTTTGAAACCAGTGAGTGGATAATAAATACTGCTTCAAAAACCGACTTTCCCTCAACGTCGGCATGTCTAATCAATTCGTATTCTTTCGTTGATAAGCTAAAACAAGGTTAATAAAATATACTAATGATAACTAAGTTTATCATTTCTAATAACTTTTGAACTTATAACTAATAATTAAATTTATTTTATCAACTTCATGTTGGCTCATCAGTGAAAGAACACGTATTGAGAGAAACTAGTATTTCCAAACACAACAACAAAATATCACGTGTGAGGCTAAATTTCCATAATTTTCTCCAATTAGGGGTTAGTTGGAGGGTTTTTGTTTTTCATTTATTTTGTCTATACGACCTATCTTTACGTCTTGTATGCGGATCCCCGCATTTCTCACATTCGATTCGTTTCCTCGCATCCATCATCCACGAAGATCTTCCAACTTTTACGTGTGGCTTCGGCTGCTGCTTGGGCACTTTTCATTTCATCTTGAATGTCGTGAAATGCTGGTTGAGTCGGTTCGCTCAGGAATCTTGAGATAGCCGAGCTGAAGCGTTCCCATTTGGAATGCAAAGTGATTTTTCCTGGAGAAGTCTGGTTTCAATTCCCCGACTTCGGAGGGTTGAGCGGCTTGGTGAGCCTGTCGCGAGGCCGAACCAGCACTGCGGTTGTGATAATCGGCATCACTACCACTGTGCTGTCCGCCTCTAGTTAGAGAATTGGTTTATATTGTTTGTTATGCATTTGTTAGATACTTAAATTGAGACAGTCGATTCATATTGAAAAAAGTTGATACGTGACACTTGAGTAGCCCGTCATTGGTTGTGCGGGCGCCAGCATATTGCTGTTCTCCATTTATAGGAGTTTTGCTGGTTAAGCCATTGTGGTTCCCTGGCATCCCGAGCTCAGTCCGGCCAAAGTCTGGCCCATTTCTTCACCACTACAGGCAGCCGCAGCCCTTGTGGATCAGAGGGAGATTTGCCACCATGCGACTTTAATAGCAGGGCGGTGGTGGCTCCTGGTGTTGGTTTACTCTTAACTAGGTTTCCTGATGGAAACGCCGGACTCCTCAGTTTGGGAGACCTTGCCAGTGGGATGAATCCTCGGTGTACATCGCAGTCCGACACCCAGGAACCCAGGAACACCTCCCAGCCACGATGAGGCGGTAAACCGTTACGAGGTATTGAAAAGGAATGAGTGGAAATTTTTCAAACTGTTGTGGAAACTCGTTGAAATATCCGATACTTTAAGTAATGTTTTTTTATTTCAGTTTGTCTTTAAGCCATTTATACATCCAGTTATTTTTTCTCCTTAAGTATTATTAATGTTGTTTAATCGCTGGCGCTTTGAACGGCTATAATTATGTTTCGAGAAGATGAGGTGCAGAGTCGATAAAAAGCTCTATAATTACCGTATAACTGTGTCCAATTAAGAAGTGTTTTATCATTGTTTTTCGTGAAAATAAAACAAAACAAAGAAAAAATGATTAATGAAAGAATGAACGATAAGAAAGAAGTGAGCGATCGAGTGATAGAAAAATTTGAAGTGTTCTGAGAAGAAATGAACGTGGAAGTAAACGTTTTTAGTTGTATAGTACTAGATTTGTAATGTACATAAAAACGGTGGTTCAAAACATCATGGCACTCCCAGCAAGCTTTTATTAGTCAGTAGTCTTTCTGATCTACAGACAATCAATAATTCCATGACTTTACTGAAGATTGACTTCAACAGGTGGTGTTTTTGTGTTGATTTTTACGTTTAATACACGAATAGTGGGTCAGAGCATTATTGTTACTACTTCCTGAATAGAATTGGTCAAAAATTTGTTATAATGAAAGACGTGATCTTTTTTTCTTTCTCTCAGACAGAACGGCTGGGTTTTCTATCGTCATTAGAGGTCGTTTTCGAATAATCTATACTTATATGGGTAAGCGAAAATATTTGAAATGAAACCTGTGAAGAAAACAATGGCTCGATGTTCCAAGCAGCATTAATAATAAAATATTGTCGAAATTTTATCTTCCATTTTTTAAAGGCTCAGGCTCATGCGCGAGCTCGTCGGGTGCCAAGTATGCCAATGCCTCAACAACCCGGGCAACCGTTTGATCCGATGTACCAAGGAGTTCCAATGGGTGTCAACAAGTAAGTGAGGAAAGAGAGAAAAAGGATAAAGACGAATGAATACGCATTCTTTACTTTAGCTTCTGCTTTACTATTATCATAGAATCTATAGATTCGCTAGCCATTATCGAATTTCTTGCATTATTCACACCAACGCCTACTTCGTTGACATCTTCATTTCTTCAATCCGTCAAACTTGTGACTTATCGTTATCATTTACTTGTTTCTGGATATTTCGGATCTATTTTCCACTCGTTATTCTTCTAGACATCTAGACTATTGAAGACATCGTAATGTGACTAAGGCGTTGATAGCTTATTTTAATCATCATCTTTCTTACTTTACTGCCTTCGTCGAATTCTAATGCATCGTCGACACTAGTCATAGCGCACTTGCCGAATTCGTCGTTGTCGTTTCTAAGATATAAGCCATTAATCAGTCACTGGATGATATAAAACATGGTCTCTTGGCGTTTCGTTCCATCGATCATCTTCGCTTTCCCATATCGCGAATGAATTTATTGCACAAAAAATCCCTTGAAAGTTTACCTTTTTCGTTTTCTGGAAACCTTTTTCCTACTGAAAGTAAGCTGGCATTACTACTTAGTACTTGATAAATAGTAGTATATTGGAAATCCTCGTCAAGATAACATCCAAATAGTATCGCAGTTATTTTTTCTTTCCAGTGTTCCTGGTCAAACGCAGCCATTAATGCGCTATCCACAAGGAACAATGACGTCACCGTCGTATCCAATGCCGACGGCTGCTGGCCCGCGACCTAACAATATGATGACATCACCCGCATATCCCCAAATGGTAAGTGATAGAGATGTGCGAGTATATATGTGCAGTAGAGGTCTTATTTATATAATTACAGGTATACTGAGATCTGTAGTCCAAAACTTCGAGACCTCAGGTGGTCTTCGAACCTTCGATTACTTTTCCGGTGATCACTTGTTGTGTACTGCACCATCGAGGGCTTTGCTTTGCCTTCCTTTCACCTATTTTTTTGCCGTAACAGTGATATCAGTAATCATTGGTGAATACAAATCGACATTCAAATATTGTATTAACACATTAGCAACGACATGACCTCTTTTGGAGTCATAGTACTGGAAAATGGCTCTTAGTTTCTAACCAACTTGTCTCACCTCAAGAATTTAGGCATATTTTCAGTTATTAAGATACAACGTTTTTTCTAGTTTCATCTAATCCTACAATGATGAAGTTTTGATTTTCCTGAGCTCAAGAACCATATCTTTTTTATCTTTTTCTAATTTTTCTTTACATCACTGCTCACATGCTAAACACGGAAAGAACTGAACAAGCGAGCTTTTCTCCTGATAGGTGTGCTGGTGTACCTGAACGCGTCATTGTTTTTACGGCTGACTTCTTGCGAGTTTAAGTTTACTTTAAGTTCATAAAAGTTTAAGATGACAAATTTAGATCTCGATTTTTTGAATATTTTAGTTGCAAACAAATTCGAGATATAAAGGATATTTTTAGAGACAGGAATCAATATGTATTTTTGTGGTGCTCCTCTTGAACAGAGTCGTTCCTATAAGTGTTAGAAGTTCTTATACATGTGTTAAGTCAATACAAACACTTTCAGTTTCAAAGATCGACTTTCTATTAACCTCGGCATTGTACTTTCAAAACCAACACTTCCGTATAGCAAAGTTAAAATAGTTAACTGTATAGTCCATCAAACTTTTTGTCGTATAAGTTTTAGTAAGCACTGATATTTTCGAGCAAGCAGAACTAGTGCTTAAATGAGTATCGTTATAATTCTGAAAGAAGTGTTGAACACTTCCGCATTCATCACTGAATAAACAAACGACGAGTCTCACTGAGTGTTCGTTTAATCATTGGTTCTCGTCTCCATGGAATTTGTTCCAGCCTATCAAGTAGACTTATTAGCTGGTTACGACAAATATTCTGTCCTTTATATACCAGACATTGTATAAAGAACAGTGTGATGCTGTAAAGTAGCGTTCTGTAAAAGTACACGTTTCAGTATCGGGCCGGTGCACCTGTCCTTTACGGCCAAGTGCAGCAACATGCTCAACACCAGCAAGTTGGTATTCTTATAATGATACTACCAGTAGTTAATTAAACTTCATAATTTTCCTCGTAAGACAATATTAGCTGTATATAAACACTCTAAAGTGTGTAAATATAGCAGTTGTATTGTGTACCTCACACGAACCGCTGCTTACATAACCAACCAACATATCGTCATGAAGTAGTAATATCTGTCCAGCTAACATATTGAGATACTATCGTATGTTTGCATATGTACGGTAGATGATATGAAAGTGGTAATTTAGGTCGTTTCTTACCCGAATCCGAATGTACCACCGGATGAGAGATACAATGTACCGTATCCTCAAGATAGTTCACCACCGGTGATTCTGTCGAAAGAGGTACTCTAACGCGTTTAACAACATTTTATTTTTTTAATAATTTCCGGCAATTATAGCACAATTCTTCATGTTAAAATTCATCACTATGGAAGCGGTTAACGCCTCAGGCAATCAAACATATCATTCAGAAAATATTTTTCTACAGCTTATTTTTAAGTTCTGTTGTCACTAATTTCTGAAGCATATCTCGTTTTCTGTTTTGTAATTTTCATGTTGGTTATTTTCTTCGTTTATTTTTGATTTTAAGGTGATCATGCGACCTTTTGGCCTTGAACACAACATGAACCATCATACATTCACGTTTAACCTTCGAACGGAAATCATTCAACAGTTGCAATCGTGAGTAGGGAAAAACAAGTTGATACCGCCAACAAATGTACGCCTTACGGTTTACACACAGTCTTGTTGTATTGTAGGCCGTTCATCGACATTCAACTGAAGAGTTTCCATAAGGACGATAAGAAAATCGCCACTCAATGGCCACCAAAGCAAACGTCGAACGGTCATTCAGTTCCCGGAACGCATCCTGAATGCAGTATTCAGGTCCTAAATGTTTCCGTAGCATTTCTATTGCATAATTTCATCCTTGCTTTTGAGAAGAAACTTTTTATATATGTATGTGCTGTCTATATGTGTATACTATTTTATATGCACTCGTATACGTTTGTGAGCTAGCGTAGGTAGCTACGGTTGCAAATGACCGCCCTAGTCCATAGATATCTCTAAAGGCGAAAAGTTTTTTTTCTCTGTCCTGGTCAACATTTTCGTGCTTTTTTAGGTGCTCATTAATGGTCAAATGGTACCCATTCCCGATTTGAGCCGTTCGTTGTTCATCAAACAAGTGGTCGTTCATGGGCCGAACACAATAGAATTCAACGTAAACCAATGTGTTTGTGTACGTTCTTACGCAGGGATAACTATCACTTGAGTTATCTGTGACATGAATGTGTCGTTTTCTTGCTCAGCAATCGCGAGGTTTTTAAACAGCATACATTTACTTCCATAAAAACAATACAATACAACGCTAGCTGACGTTTCGGCAGTATCGCCTTCTTCAGAGCCTGGAAGGGTATGCTGATATACAATCTACTAGGCCAAACGCTTCAATAACACTTACAAAAAGACGAAAAACTCTTTGGTAATTACACGATCAACAACTTCTCGAAAAAACCCACCGCTTTTTTCGTTAATTCCCGGAGGTCATACGCGACCTGATCCCGTACGTTCGCATCGATTTTTGATGTGGGATGGTGCAGTTATCAACCACATGCGACTATAATCAGCTGTTCTAAACTTCCTCATTGGAAATCACGAAAAAAGCGGTGGGTTTTTCGAGAAGTTGTTGATCATGTAATTACCAAAGAGTTTTTCGTCTTTTTGTAAGTGTCATTGAAGCGTTTGGCCTAGTAGATTGTATATCAGTATACCCTTCCAGGCTCTGAAGAAGGCGATACTGCCGAAACGTCAGCTGGCGTTGTATTGTATTGTGTTTTTCTATGGAAGTAAATGCATGCTGTTTAAAAACCTCGCGATTGCTGAACGAGAAAACGACACATTCATATTCCGATGCCGAGGTTAAGAGAAAGTCGATCCTGGGAACTATTATCTGTGACAGTTTGGATTTTTTATACGTTGTGTTTTCAGTCACATTCCTTCATCATGCAATTGGTTGTACGTCAACCGTTGTCTAAGGTCACGCAAGATATCTTTACACGCACCCAGAACTGTACGGCAGAAACGTGTCGCGATAAATGTGAGCTGGCTGTTTTAGTGCTTGTAGATATTTTATGCAGATATTGTTTTGGAATATTTGCATATATATGAATATGTGATGATATGCGATGATGGTTAGTACTTGATACTTGAACGGCCCGTGTTCACTAGTTGTGCGGGCCCCAGTACAATCATTATTTTTCGGAGATTTCCTGGTCAAGCCGTTGTAGTTCCCTGGAATCCCGAGGACAAGATTTGCTCCACGTCTTCACCACGACTGGCAGTCGCAGCTCTTGCGGATCAAAGGGAGATTTCCCACCATGCGACTTTTATACCAAGGCAGTGGTGGATTCTGGTATTGGTTTACTCTTAGCTAGGCTTCCTGATGGAAACGCCGGACTCCTTCTGTCTGAAGGCTCTGCTGTGGTAATGAATCCCCCTGCTGTACATCACAGCCCGACACCCAGGAATACCTTCCAACCACGATGAGGTGGTAAACCGTTGGAAGGTATGTGATGATAAGGACGTGGAATTTGTGGACTGAGCTTGTAAACCTGGCATGGAACTACTTCTAGTATTCCTTACGATTTCAAATCTTTTAGACTTTATGTTCACTTACATATTCCATTCTGCTACTCTAAACTTAGTGTTTAGTTACATTTTCTCCACACTGGTCAACTATGTTCACCCGTTGAAAGTGGGATATTGTTGTGGTTTAAAGTATTTGATGACACACTTGATAAAAGCACTGAAGTGTCTGAATTCGTTGCTAACTGCCACAAATTTGAACAATTGTTGTTTTGATGGGCGAAAATTCCATGTGTATTCGAAGAGTAGTCAAGTATATTTGATGAATCACATCGTCATCTCTCAGGACGCTGCGGCACAGTTGGTTTTGAACAGTGTTCTTAGGTACGGGTTACCAGTTACAAGCTACTTTCTATCGTCACTGGTAATCATCGGCATTGATGTTACCGATGGTGCAATTTAAATGACGCGTAAATGACTCTGCATGTGGGTTTTAATATGTAGTATGCAATTTAGTTTTACACTCTCTTAGTGTAATTGTATAGTCCGCCTTTTTCTATCTTGTATGTCATGAAACACAAACGTGGACATTTTCATATGTGATCTGAAGTCTGAAATCCTAACGTATTTCTTGCTCCCAGTTTTCTGCTTAGCGGTTACTGTAGTCAACACCAACCTTACACTAGTGTATTTATAATACTATACATATTAAGTTTATTGAGGATCATTCAAGATTGCATAAATACCTTCATGGCTGGGGTCTTTTAATAGAAAACATTGGAGCGAAAATATTGATGCCTACGAATAGTTTCGTTGTTCTTTTCAGATTTACATTATTTACTAGATCACTATTTTAGCTCTTGTTTACACAACAGTTACAAACTAGTTGCAGTTGGGAAAAAAGACGTATTAGCGATTCCTAAACAACATTGGTAATAGTAGTAGTGATTACAGTTGCAGTTACAGTAACAACATTAATGCTAAAGAAACGTGTAGTGCAGTGGTTAGATGTACCGTGGAATGCACATGTTGTCGTCAGCACAATTAAGTGATCTAAGCTAACCAAGCCCTTAGCCCTCCTGGTCGGCAAGCTGGTGCCAGACTTGTTGAAGAAGATAAGAAAACACTTATTGGTAGGCTACAGCAAATCATTGCTTAAGCGAAATATGCATTTAGTCACTTCTAGCGACTTTTGTTGAAGTCGAAATGCATAGCTAATTCTTCATTTAATAATCAATGCCGCCGTAGGGGCGCGTGTGGCGCAGTGGTTGGAGACGCCCTGCAATACACATGGGATCGATTCTCGCTCCTATGGTCCGCGAAGCTTTCTATCCTTCCAGAATTGGCAAATTGGTACCAGATTTGTCTGGGAGGATATCAGCACTGGCTCCATACCACCGCGAGTCATTGTAAAGGCCACATATGCATTCAATCACCTACGAATGAGCTTAACGAAACCGAATGTATGGCGCATCCCTAAGGGATTGATCAACGCCGGAAGCTTCATCTTCTTTTTACCACCGAAAGCTCTTTATTTTTTTTTACCAGTAGCGGTGATGAAATGTGACTTTGTGTGTTTCAGTGCTTAAACTCGCACCGCCGACTGGATTACGAGTTCCATTGGTGTGTGACATCACACATCGTCGTATGTCTATACCTGCACGGTCGTCACGATGTGTTCATGCTGCCTGTTTCGATTTGGAGCCCTTCATCATTCAACAAAATGAAAACTCACTCTATGAGTGCCATATTTGCAGGCAAGTTCTTTTTCTTTAATAGTTCGAACCTTATTTCAATCAGATATGACTATAAATTTCTTGTAGAAGGTTTGTATGGAGAGGGGACCATCTTGAAAATATGTTCGGCTGCTACTAGCCTGTTTAGCACTAGGTTATATCAGATGGTAGGATGGATAGTACTTTCATACATATCGAGAATATATGCACATCATGTATTTTCACGTATGTAAGAGTTGGGTATGGCAGTGGTAGTGATGCCGATGATCACGAGCTAAATAATGGTTGGACAGCGCTCAGCCCACTAAGCCTGTTATCCCTCCAGAGACGAGAACATGTTACTAAACTTGGCTGAGAAGAGTCCACTGTATGCAATCCAAGTTGGATTAGTGCAATGGTTAGTGTTGCCGTCGATCAGAAAGCAAAATCACTAGTTAGACCCTCTCCCCAATTCTCTCCAACAATCGGCGTGGGAACGCTTTAGGCCGGCTATTTCCAAGACTGAAAAGAAAATCGACTTGACCACCGACATTCATAAAGAAGAAATCGTCAAACAGTAATGGAAATAACACGAAATGTTCAAAGACGTTTATGGAAGCGGATGAAAACGAGTCGAATGCAAGAAGTGCCAGGATCTGTAGAGTGGATGTGCTAATGGGTCGCGTAAAGCAAAATGAATGATAAAAATGTGCATAGTTTTTTCTTTACGAGGTATGAGGTTTTCTATCGTCCTCTAAATTATTTAGTATGTGTTTAAGACCTTAGTGTTTTTCTAAGGTATTTTGTTTACCATGATATCAGGCATTCTTCAATAGTTTTTACTCTGGCTATTTTACACCGTTTTTGTTTCAGTGGATTTCAGATGCCATTTATGATAATCTAATCTTCTATTAATGACTGGTTATGACTGCACTTACTCATATACTAATAAACAAGTGCTGTGATTAAGAAAAATTATCTTGCGGAGAAGCTGCCCGATATGGGCATTTGTTTTCGTGCTTTAGACGTTAGCATTTTCCACAAACGATTCTGATTTAGTGGCAGATGATAACTAAGGTTAAAACATAGCTAAGTTCGACTTTTTTCCTCATTTAACGTGTTTTTGCCTTTTTAGAAATCATTTTTAGTCAATAAGTCAAGTCAAAGTCAATTAGTTAATCATTCAATGAGTAAGTAATAATGAGTCAAGTAAGTAAGTAAAGTAAGTAGGTTGTAGTAAGGTTGTGTAGTAGCAGGCTATCGATAAGTAAGTCATAAGTCACTCAAAATAAATGGAGCATCATTTTTAGTGTTCTACTAGTAGTCGGATTATCGGTGCTTTTTTTCATCGACCTAATAATATTAATCATCTTTATATCTTGGAGATATATAAACATGTAGAAAGATACTAGAGGGAGGAGTTTTATGTCTTTACTTTATATTTTTTATTTCTATACCTTGCCAAAATTTACTGGCGTCAGCTCGAGTCACTCGACGATCAAATGGACTATGGGTGATACCATGGTTGCTTTTATTACTACTATTAAGACTTAGCATTATTATTATCACTATTATTATTGCTTACAATTTGTTATTATACCGCATTTGTTGCGTTATTCTATACTTCTATACTTTGTGGTAGCGATCCCGGTCGAAGTTCTTTTCCTTAAATGTCTTAGTATGAATTCTTTCATGATTACTTCTTCCGAATTATTTTGATTCACCATTATTTTATTTTATTATTTGTTTATTTTGTTTCTTTCATTATTATTTTTATCACTCAACGATATTTTCATGGATCCGAAAGATTTCATATATCCACTATTTCGATTGAGGTCTACGTCAGCCTTAACGTTTAGTGACATAAGGAGCTGCGATATTCTTAATGAGCTCAGGAAACGGCCATAAATTTTTTTCGTTACATTTTTTGAGGATTTTTTCTATAATTTCACGGAATGTCGTTGAGTGCTGAAACGTTTGACTCCAGTGAATATTTTTTTTTGGTTTTGTGAAGGTTTTTTTTCGAAGTGGTCTAATATTTCCTCTTGGAGAAGTTCTGAATTCGAGAAATCAGCTGCGTTTTTGCTATTCAGTGTGTTTCTTCGTAGTTTTTCCTCCGTTCCCCATAATGTTTTAGGACCTTTAAGATCATTTGCTTTAGTACCTTTTCATTTTAACTTTTTCACAAACACGTTTCATTCAGTTTCACTGTCTATCGCTAATTTCCTAGTACGATCCTTCCTTGTGATTTTCATCACTCCACATTTCATCATTTAAAATTATCTGCCATTGTTTATTTGTTACGAGTCATTGCACTACATTTACATGCTGTATGGTATGGGAGCCGCTAAAAATGCTAACATTGTAATGAAACTTAGATAGCTACATCGTCGTAAGACGAGGCATCAAGCAGCTAATGAGGTTTTGTTAACGAATTTTGTATTAGTTACGACCAACGCGCTTTTTTTTAACCTTGTGCTTTTTTTTTTCCTGTAAAACAACAAACACTAATGAGCTGTTTTTTCTTAATTAAATTTGATTAATTTCAGGACGATTTTCCAGTTGAATGAGATCGAACTCGATTATTTTGTCGGTAAAATGCTTCGTGAGAGTACTAGTAATCAAGCGATGGAAATGTTACTGGAGACGAATGGCGAGTATCGACCTGTCGAACCTGAGCTGACCGGCAGAAAGCGTAGCGGCGACGAGAACGGTAACAGATGTTCTTTTCTTTTTCTTCTGCTTCTTCTTCCTACTCTTTTTCTTTTTTCTCTTCTTCTTCCTTTTCGACATCTGATCCATTACGAAAATGTCCAGCCCGACCTAAAACATGTCCTGTCATTTCGGCTAAGTTGTGACAGCTCGTTTTATAGCGATATGTTCATATCGCACTTCGAACTAATGTAGCAAGAATGTAGATGAGGGATAATGGCGTAATTAAAGGAATTTTCCTGACGATTATGGGTTGGTTTGGCTTAGGACCTCGTCCAAAACTCAATCTGTACCTATTTTTCTGCTTTATTTTTTTTTCTACATTTCTTTGGATTTTTTGTTATCTGTGAACAAACGTTGGTTGGATTTACGGGGTTTTTCTCATCTATAAACCACGGAAGTACAGACTTACCTTCTTCAGTAGCGATAGAGAATCGATTTTCTCTACTATCACTCTGTTAATCTGCTAAACGTTAGTAGTAATGACGGAGAAAGTGTGTTTTTTACAAATTACAGTACGACATCGGATATCTTTCACTACGTAATGGAGCGATGAAAATGGCTGATTGGTGAAATGTCGCCTGAAAACTATCTGTTGTTTTTTCGCGGGTACTCGTGCAACATCGTTAGCGACTGGCCTAGTACTTTCTACTATTACTCTAAATGAACTATTTTAGAAAGCTTTCATGAGCAAAGGCATCAGTCTTTATAAAATTTAAAATTTCCAGTTGTTGAGCTGGACTTCTGAATCTTTTTGGTGTAAACTGAATCGCTCTTATTTCTCTCCAACCTTGTCCATACTCAGTGAAATCTGCAGCCTACCAGCACCACAAATCATTTTTGCCTGCCCATAATCTCACAATTCAGAAATCGTCGAGGTCAACATTACCATTTGTGATTCTATGACTTGTAAAGTAAATATCTCGAGAACCATTAAAGTCGTTAGGGTTTCTCTTGGCATTGTTTTACTCTTAGCTATATTTCTAGATATGTTTCGAAGTACTTCTCTATGAGGGACATCTTGTAGTACTGGAGAATGAACCTCCTCTGCGGTAGTTTGATACGGCTACTATTAGGCGCTGAACTCTCGGGACGGGGAGCTTTGTAAGAAATACGTTTTTATTTAATTAACGGCAATATTCACTAAGTCGAAAATCAAGTTACTGCCAATTAGTGGTAAGTCAAGTTTGTTAGTTATTGATCAGACAATATAATTCCTGATATTTTAACGGCTTATTTGTATAAGTGGATGATGAACGCTGTTCATGTTCATGAATCGTACGAATTCGAGTACTGGTTTCATTAGACCGGTATTTTTGTAGTTCAGCGAGTTTTCCTTTACTCCTGTGTCGTATAGTGGTCGTGCCAGTGTGTTTCCAATTTTATTGCCAAATGTGTTGGCTGCGTTTGTGGATTCTACGGACGTCTTCTTAATCATGTATTTCGTCATTGGTAGAGGGTTCGTTCTTGACGTTAGTTTGCTCTTGTCTGACCTTACTGACGGTGATTCCCCTGTGCTTATATAGCTTTGTTTGAGGAAGAGATCTGCATGTGCATGTTGCTCTTTTGATAAACAGGAATATCCTGTTCACCATAGTATGGGCTAAAGTTCAGAAGCACTTTTTAGCAGGAGAAAATATTGCTTAGCGAGCAATTATCCTTGGGCAGATTGGCACATAACCGACCAATATTCGTCTCCGTGAATTGTCCCATATACATATTTCAAAAACTGACTTTCCTTTAACCACGGCATGACTAGTCAATTTGTATTCTTTCATTTATGTGCCAACACGAGGTTGATAAAAAGGTTTATTCGACTAGTGTTTCGACCTCGTCTTCTTGGATCCGATGGTCCGAGCTCTGAAGAAGACGAAAACTTCGACACACAACCGAGTAAACCTTTGTATCGACCTTCTGTTAGCTTATTAATGAAAGAATACAATTTGTCCCATATATTTTAACTAAGACAACAATGTGTAGCGGCAACTCGTTTACGACACGTTCTGGTGCGTGCACTCATCGACGTTCGTTTACGAGCACCAGCCGCAGTTTAACGGCCGTCGTCTCGTGCAGTTCACACACCGCACAATTTATTTTCATATTCGAGACGAAGATAAGGGGAGTACGATATATATGATCAGTCGGTTAATTTAGTAAGTATTCGTACTGGGAAGAAAAGTGGGTTACTACAACTGATGGTCTCCTTCCCCATAATGAAACTAACCTTAGCTGGAACGGAACCAGTCGCTCAAGAGCTTCAAGACATTGAATTTCGCAGTTATTACAGTGTCGGAATTGAATGCAGGAAGTAAAATTGTGGCTATGTAGCCATCTGCAGTTATTATCTGTCTATTTGGAATAAAGTTCCCGACGCCTGCAGAAGTGTTCGAATTGTTAACGATACTGAAGCGTGCTGAAGTGCTATGCAAGAAACTCGGCAAGATGCAAACTAGCAATAGTTGTGTAATGTCTGAGTAGCATTAGCGATGTACAAACATGTTTTCGCTATGGTTGCTGTTAGGGATCTGAGTGGAGCAAAGCAGGACATAACAGACGAAGTGAGGAATAACACATTAAGCTAGAGCTATATATATGTATATACATATATATATATACATACACATATATATATATATATATATATATATACATTGTCATTTAACGTCAACATCTTGTCGATGGATACTACATAGGTCTTGAAAAGAGGAATATCTGAAACGTTTTCTGAGGGAACTTCAGTGAAGACGAACACTTGTTAGTAGTCATGAATAAGATCGTGAGGTGTCATTTTTCGCAGCGAGCCGTCAGTGAATCCGTTGTGTATAAGACTACACTTTTTAGAAGATGATGAGAGATCTCAACCCATCTCATCATTGAAGCTCTGCGGATACGTTTGTTGAATAAGGCAGAAACTGGTTGAATTTCCATGCGAGGTTTTTTTTGTGAAAGAGAATAGTTTAATTCAAAATATATGTCTTTGTAGTGTTTCCGATATGCCAGTAATCGTCCCGTCAACAATACCGAGAAGTGACTGTGTATAATAATCTCAAACATACTGGTTATTACCACAGTGATGCTGATATATTTTCAAAACTTGGACCCAGGCTAGATTCTGGGCATCATTGGTGCAGTGAGTAACATGTGAGCTCCCGGAAATGGTAATCGTGAGTTTGAATCTGGCTTGAGGTTCTTGTTTTGCGGCTATGTATTTCAGCTAATACTCTACCATAAAACAATATAGTATGCGGTAAATAAAGAGTTAAGCACACTGGTTACTCTTATAATGTGGAAGTTTGAAGTAGTTCTAAAGCGAATGCGCTGAAGCTCTTCTATGATCAACAAAATGACGTTGTGGTGAATGCACTTTTTGTCATTCGAGTCAGCTTCGGTTGTTTTATTTCTATTTTCACAGGTCATTTAAAAGTTGAATATTGAAGTAATCATTGAAAAATTATCTTTTTTCCAAACCATCAATACAAATGCGCTCTTTTGAAATGGCAAGAATTTAGAAATATGAGTTTGCTAATAACCTCAAGCGAGGAAGGGTTTTCAAAATAGTTCGGTCTAGCATTCGGTCTTGCTCTTTATCTGATATTCATAACCTCTATGAGGAGCAGTCATACCCAAGGCTTCTGTATCCGTCCAGCTGAATAAGTCTTTCCCAACATTAATTACATTTTTATGAATGCCAAGTTGTGAAAGAGTGGATGTGTTGCGAATCCGGCGAAGCACGACCATCATTGTCATGCATTCGTTCATTAACGCTCGTTTGTTCTTCCGGACTTTCTTGATTGTGGAATTTTGCTGAGAAAAGTTTCATTCTATTGAGATAAAGTGAATATTGCGGGTTTAACAGCCTGAATAGGATGAGCGTTGGCGTTCACCTCCGGCTTGTAGGTGACCGATCCTTGGAGGTGTTTATCGCCAGACTGTTTGCGTGTGGGACGTAAGGGAAAGGAGTGGGTGATAGTGGTGTTCTTCGCCAACTTGTGAGTGACCGGTCGTTAGAGGTGTTTACGGTCAGATTGTTTATCGCGAGTAGTACATAGGGGTAGCGAGTGGGTGGTGGTGATGTGCTGCCGTTTTGTTGATTGTTTTGATATACACCAAGCATCCAGCGCCAGATTTTGACTTGTATTTCGTCATCACTGACATTCTGTCGATTTCCGTCGCTCTTTCAAGTCGTATAACTGGTTCCAATTTAGGTTCTGACACGATTCGCTGTAAAGCTGTTGTGTTTAGTTAAACATACGAACGCCGATTTTGATGTGAACATTCATTTAGGGAACACAGTTTTAAGTATCAACCACACAGATCTTAATAAGTAAAGACAAATCCAGAAAAGCATGTAGATATTTCTTATTTGCAAGGTTTTCTTCTGAGATAACCAAATTGCCTCAAATTGTTTTTCTATGATGTCGGAGGCAACTCAACTTTAATTTTCCACCATAAATTATACTACTGGAATTCTAGGTTTATTCAAGTGGCTCTGTTCGTATCCGTTGGAGAATTATTGTAGCCAAAACTTTTTGAAAATTATTCCAGTTATTTTTAGATTAGAACACAATTTATTGATTGAAGAACTCAAATATGATGAGTGTATTTGAAGCTTTCTCATCCCCGCGGCCTGATGAGATATGAAATCGCATCAGACGATTACAGAAATGGTGTGAGGGCCGCGCTGCAGGGAATTACCTAGCATCAGAATCGCTGTCCTCGTATAATGTGCAGTATATCAGAACATTTATTTCGTTATTCTTCTGGGTACTTTGATTTTCATTCCCAAAACACAAGTAGGTGTTTGAATGTGGGTGGACAAAAATTCGCGTAATGGAAAAAGAATTCGCTCTTTCGCGTTTGACGTCAAAATACGACATTAAGTGATGCCATTCGAACAATTCGTTGTTTCCTCACCGCCTATGAGGGACTGAAGAAAATTAATGTGAGAATTCTACGTAGTTCAGTGTTCTGCAGTTAAGGAAACCTGAGTTATTGGACGTACCTGCTCCAGACCTAGGCTACGTATTTCATGCACTCATTCCAATCTTTTGCTTCATTGAATTGTAATGAACAAGTTCTGGATTGAGACAAAGAATCTCCAAAAAATCAATTGGTTTTTACTGATTTTTATTTCTTTGTCGAAATAGTTCCTTCTTTTTAAGCTCAAATAGGTGTTCGTTCATCAGAAGGTTGTTATCAGATCTGAAATGCTGATTTCACTTTCAATAAATGGTTTCGTTTCAGGATCAACGCATCCGATCAAACGAATCAAAAGTGAGCCGTTTCCGCAACCAGTGGTATCACCATTCCCGCCACCTCCCGGTTCTGCTCCAATGGCAAACGCTTCTGCCGTCTCGTCTATGATGAGTCCATTCGCGGCCAGTCAAAGGTGAATGGTTGTTTTCAACTTCAGTGATAGGAATTTGACTTCGATAAACAATGGATGGAACACATCGTTGAGCTGATGGGAAAGCATTAAGCTTTGCTTAATAGCTTTCAAATCCTTACAGGATCTCATTGAATATGCGTCCAAATATGATCTCTGGTTACCTTTCTCTAATCACTAATATTTTATTGGACGTAACAACTAAACTCTGCATGAATACATGAATTTCAGAATTTACTGTTAACAATGGATTAAATGGAATGATAACCACGATATATAATTTTCAGTCCATCGAAAGCTGTCTCATCACCATCTGGTGCACGTTTCAATTGTGGTCCTGGGACACCCTCAACTCCTCATCCTCCCCAGAATCCAGCTTCCGTTGGCACTTTGCCGAATCCCTCTCAACCAGAACCGATTCACAGTGGCACTAGTCCTCATCAGACACAAATCCAGCAACACGGAAGTGTCGAAGCACCATCTTTGACAGGTTGGTTAGGGAATTAGCATTTCTAACGAGCCCAGTCGTATGCTTTTTTACGTTCAGAGTTGATCGTGAAGTTTTCGTTAAAATCTTTCTTTTTCATTTATTCACCGAAAATGCATCAACTTTTGCCTGCTTGCATCTTTGCTAGATCTTGTTTTGCCACTAACTCTGTGTGCAAATTCTAGCAACCAGTGTTTTGCGAGTTCTAAGCTACTTGTTCTTCAGGATCCGCGCCGTATACGCCGGCTTCAGTGAATTCCGGCGTCGCTCTGCCAGCAGTGAATCCGTCCGATCATCCATTTGGTAATATCAACAATCTATCGATGACGAGTCTTGATATTGAAATTGATGGAAAGAGCCTGTTTGGCTCGGTGAGTACTTCGATAAGAACACATAGGCTGGCGATTTCATTCAATCGACACCGCTTGTACGGTTGCTGTGTAAAGATTTTACAGTTTTTCTTATTTATAATCAGTGACATTTAGACACTGATGACCGCTGATGATATCAAGAAGTACCTGAATGACAGCGATACCGTATTCACGGCGTTTGATGACCTGACTTGCACGGTACTTGAGTTTTATACAGTAAAATAGTTTTTGTGAAATAACGTTTCCTATAGATTTCCATTTTTCAAGTGACTTGTTGCCTAAACGTTTCCATGGATATATTTTCATGAAAGTAATGGTTCTCAATCACAGAACGACCCTCCACCGATCAGCGGATTCCCACACTGTTGGGAGGACATACAGTCGATAATCGCTGCAGACGAGAAGCGTGGTTGATTCACGCGCAAAGCATGGGATCAATCATACTACTCCTCCATCACTCATAATCGATAATCTCATCCGATCTATCGGATCAATAATCGCAGATCGTCGCTTTCGCTTCCTTGTGTTGTGATGTTGTTTTTTGTGCATTTATTGATGTATATGTGTGTATATGTTTGTGTGTAGGTGTGTGTATGGCGGTCCTCTTATCTATCATTTCATCATAGGTTTTTTTCGTCACTGTAGAATGTACGAAAATCCAGGGATATGCGGAAACTAGGCTTCATTTCAAACTGTCGAACGCCATATGTGAAATGGTCATGAAAAGCGGAGGTCAAGATTACGCGCATTCCTAATAGTCCAGTCTAATCGATATCTATATAATCAATTCATTACGCACTGATACTTAAAGAACTAGTAGAATGCACATACGGCATCGGCTGGTTTATACAACCTAGTGGGTCAGTATAATAACATTAATAGTAGTATTATCTCAACATGTATTTTTTCATTGGTAAGTTAACACGAGGATTATAAAATTCTCTAGTTCCTGAAATGTTCGAAGTTTCTAAAAGACTTGTTATCGTTTTTGTACTGGCTTGTCAATGAAAAAATTACATATTGATTAGTCATTTCGAGGTTAACGCAAAGTCAGTTTGGGAAACACAATTATCTCAATCCTTTGTCTCATCGTCGTTTATAGCACAACTTTATGGGTACCGTAGCCCTTTATCCACTTAACTAAATGTTTCTACCATCACCCAGTATACCGCATAAATTCTTTCTAGCACTTAATCGCAAATATTCGACACCTTTTTCTGATCTACAGAAGTATTTTTCATCCGAATTACGGATCGGAATGTGCTTTCGGTCGCTAGCCGTTGACTGACTGGTCATAGTATAGCTTTTCGTGAATACCATCAGTACTGTTGATTTCTAGTGTTTTGTCATCGGCCGATAACATACTAATCCAAGCCGTTTGTAATACTTTAGCACTTTACTTTTCCTGAGCATTTCATTTTCATTCTTCCCACATATGATGTTTATGTGTTATTGAGTTTACGATAGTGCTTTAGACAGTCGCGCGGGTGCGGCGCACACGCAAGCTCAGCGTCGCGTTCCGCGCACGACCCACATTTTGTATGATACTCTGTGGTAAACGTCCAAACCGCCACTATGTGGCATTTCTACCGTCATTTTTTTTTACTATGTTCATTGATTACATTATTATTGTTATTATTATTATTATTATTAACACTACTGCTATCATACCATATATTCCCTGTGAGTATTTGTGCTATAATTCGTATCATCTGTCTTTTATATCCTATTCGTATCAATCAGTATACAGTTTAGAGTGATCAACGACAGCACAGCTTGTAATAAGTACAGTTCAGTCGCATTCTTCTAATCATTGATGTGTCGTTCTCTTCTGAAGGCATTTTTATGCCTTGTACATACGATGGTATACATATTATATACATATATTGATGGTCAAAGTCACTCTGTTTCATAATACAACAATTGTGTTATGTAACCAAAAATCAATAAAACTACGTAAGTTATGTGATGTTGTGTTGATATAAGCAGTAATTGTTAAGTGAAGGCGTTTCGAAGAGCATCTACTGACGTGCTCTTATTTGTTGCCGCTGTGGTAATGACAGAAGCCGGTCAGTGAAATCGAAAAACTATACATTACGAAGGGAAAGGTGGTGGTTGATGTTTTTTAAACTTTTTTTAAAGTAATGTTATCGAGTTAATCGTCTTTTTTGAGTAAAAGTATGGCTAGGTAGAAATTGAAGAACTAAATTCGAATAGGATATTTAACGTATTATTTACTGCGTATTCTTTTTAATGGCAGGGTATACATTGTGAAATATAACTTCAATGATGCTGAGATATTTGCAAAACTCCGGACCGCAGGTGTATGCGGTGGGGAACGAACACGCGCTGTTGTGCTTACCGGGGAGCAGCGCACTTCACCACCACACCATCTGGTGAAGGGTTCGTTGCCGATTTGGGCCTCCCCAGATCAATCCCACCGACGGGTGATTGCTGATGGCAAAATATCGATAGAACTAGCTCAGAGACAGGTGAAACGAAGGACCCGCATGGTGTGGTGGTGGACGCGCTACTCCCCGGAAAGAAAGACATGAAGATGAGGAAGGATCGGGTGTTATATATATTCATCAATATCACCTTCCTGTTCAGTGAAAGTCAAGGAACTCAATAAACGATGTCGGGCAATTCTTTATTTGTCCTTCTGGCTTGTCAATTTCATCATCGAGGTTCACATGAAGAAGACGATGGGCGTCATATTCTTCCTGCATGTCCTTCATTAATGTGAGAAGTCTTGAACGTCGTGACGGTTTCTCCCGATCTCTTGTGTCGTATTGACATTCCACCGAATCCACCCATTAGCAGTTCCTGTTCAGTGATTATAATAATCTCGTATAGGGGTCATTTAGGCATCGATATCTTGGTGCACGGTATTTGGTCCTTGATAGTCGACACATGACGCAGACTTCCACATTCCGTTTTCGTTTAAGAGATGAGAAAATACTGTTAACCTTAGCGTTTCGTTTCGCTTTAAAATCTAAATTAACAGCTATATCAGAACACTCTCAGGAGTTCGATGTTTTTGACAACTGCCGATAATTTTTTCGTAACTGGTGCACTTGAAAACTTGGTCTCTTGAGAAATTGCAGAGAGCACCTCCGTGTATCGCTTCAAGGACACAAGTGTATTCCCATCTTTAAAACACCTTTTAATGCAGAATTTTAAGAAAGTTGCAATAAGGACAGCTTTGGGGAGCTTTTGACGCAAGAACAACAAATGCCTTCGAGGATACTGTCATCTCCGAGTGACTCTTGATGAAAAACCAAGGTGAGGGAACAAAAAGCCTTTCAGATTTCATATTACTGAAATTTTCTGAAATAGAACAAGTAAACTTATTTTCCTTGGCAGGATACGTCAATTTTAACGGTATAGGAATCTTGGTAAGCAAAATTGTCTACATAAGATACTGATATATTTCTTTACAAGTTTAGGCCAAAATTACTCTCGGCCACGCATCATGTAGAAACACATAAATTAAACTATTTCCATATTTACTGGAATACCCAATGAACAGCATAACAGTCCGAGTGTATTTCGTCGAACTTTTCACAGAAAGAGTAGGTTGAATGTCGTTTTAAAAATCAGCACCGATTTAAAATAATATCTGGAACAAGACCATTACAAAAATATACTTGTGTTCGTCACTTAATTTAGGTAGTACTTGTGATAGTTATTTACGAAATATTCAGTACCGTTCGTATCATTGGACGGTTGCGAACCTACAAGCGACACCGAGGGTCAGCTGTACACGTCCATTGGTCTGGTTATTAATCCATAAGTGTTAAATAGCTGGTCATATATACCTAAAATCGAAAGATTATCCTTACGCCTTCACCTAGTTTATACTTTTGGTCATGGACCTCGTTTAAGCGCTTTCATATGTCGGAAATCGGTATATTATCCATCGACTTGAGTCTCGCTTGCAGTTACAACAGAGTGTTGTTGCCATTGTAACTAACTGACATGCGCTTTGTGGCTCATCATATATCGGGTAGTAGTAAATCACCCATAGACTGAATTGTTGTTTCGCTTATGCAGGATGAACTAATCAACCGTCAGTATAACTTGATTTCATCATTGTTTTCCCTTGTTTTTAAATCGCTGGGCTTACAGAAGGTTGATAAAAAGGTAAATTTGGCTGTTTCAACGTCTTCGCCCCCATTAGAGCCAATGGTGTGAGTCGGTGGTTCACAGTTGTTCGTCATGTCGATGTTGCGTCTTCGTAGTCATACCGAGGCAAACCTTTTTCAGTGAACTGTAGACCACCGATTCAGAACATCGGCTCTGAATGAAGAAGACGTCGAAACATTAGCCGAATAAACCTTGTTTGTCGACCTCGTGTAATCCCAACAGTTTAAACATATGTTTATTATTCAGCTATCAAAGTTAAATCACGGTCGGTTTAAAAAATATTTCCTCTGTCCAGGTGATATTCAGCAACAATTTCTAGAAAGCGATACGTGTTATTATTTTTTATTCTTTCCATGGCACCCAGCCAGTATGTTGCCGTGGAACACTAAAACTAGTGTATATCAGCCGCTGTTTTTGAGCTCTTCATCAGTTCATTTATTTTTTAAGTACTTTAGCGACTTACATCCATCCAAATAACAGCATAACTAAATGTGTCGTTTTCTTGTTCAGCAATCGCGAGGTTTTTAAACAGCATACATTTACTTCCATAGAAAAACACAATACAATACAACGCTAGCTGACGTTTCGGCAGTATCGCCTTCTTCAGAGCCGCTTTTTCGTGACTTCCGGTTTCGTGGCAGTCGTCAACCACATGCGACTATAATCAGCTGTTCTAAACTTCCTCATTGGAAGTCACGAAAAAGCGGCTCTGAAGAAGGCGATACTGTGTTTTTCTATGGAAGTAAATGTATGCTGTTTAAAAACCTCGCGCTTGCTGAACAAGAAAACGACACATTCATATTCCAAAGCCGAGGTTAATAGAAAGTCGATCCTGGGAGCATATCTAAAGTTATGTTAATTCTCCTTTAAACGATTTACCACCTCATCGTAGTTGGGAGGTGTTCCTGGGTGTCGGGCTGTAATGTACAGCGGGTGATTCACACCACAGCAAGGCCTCCCAAGCTCAGAAGTCCGACGCTTCCATCTCCGGAAGCCCAGCTAATAATAAACCAGTACCAATACCAGAAATCACCACCGTCTAGCTACCGAACTAATCGCATGTCGACAGATCTCCCTATGATCCACAAGGGCAGCGACTGCTTAGAGTGGTGACCACCTGAAAAAGGCTTCGACTAAACTGACCCGAATGGAGAAAAATGGCCACATTAGTGAACCAAGATGCTTGACATCCACATTTCGACTACGCCTACGTTCGTTTCGTTTTCGTTCTCGAATATTCTACGACTAGAAAATAACAAAACAAA